AAATAATGATGCTGCAAAAAATGTTGGGAGATTTTCATCTATTGTAGCTTGAGTTGATTTGTGGCTATAATAAGTCTTAATTCCAAAACAGCTCAAAGTTTCCATTATTGAAGATATTTCTACCTAGAATTAGACTATATATTGGAAACAGTGATTTGACATTTACTGTTTGTTGGCCCTTTACACCCTAACATCAGTATGCATATTCTCCATACTTTTCTCTATACATTTCCTAAGGTGCTGACAAGAAGAATGCATTTAACAATATCAAGCATCTTGAGTTTGTGATCATTTCCTTTATTCACCTGAACTTTATATTTGATTCAGGGGTGCTTCTGTTGAGAGAAATTAAACTCTTATCACTCTCAGGGTATTAAGGGCTGACATACTTAAGGCTTCTTCTGGTTTGATGTTGTCTGAGTTCCCTTGGATGCAATAGGAATGTTGTGACTGTAATGTTGTTGTTTTTTTTAGCGAAGGATCACCTCCTAAAGTAAACAAGATGGACAATAAAGCGATAACCAGTAAGGTAAACAATACATGTTGTTTTATTTAATATGTTTTTCAACAAATGGGAAGATTAAAAAAATTCACTTTCTTGTAAGACTTATGCACTTGAAAGATGCTGGGATACAAAGCATTTGAAATTTAATGTAAAAAGGATCAGTACTGGTGTACACAGATCGGAGATATAGAGGAGCCTTCTTGGTTTTTAGATGGATCCTGATTAAATTAAATTAATACTTTATTTATATAGGGCTATTCTTTCACTATCAAATAGCACTAAATACAATGACTAAATACACAGACTGAAATTAACATTAAGTGCTCGAAAATCCCAACTGGCAGTAGTTGCAGACCAGTTGGCTATTTACACTGCACAGCCAAGGAGTTGAACTTGGGGCAACCAAGAACAATTCTAGTGAATGGCAAGGTGGAGGACTTGAACTCAGGACCACCAGATTACAAGTCCAGCACCCTAACCACTCAGCCAAGCTGCCTCCTGATGATTTTGTAACTTTTGTTAAAACCTCTTGAGGGTAACTGGTCAGGTGGTTTTGCCTCAATTTAGGTTTTCCCCCCATCCCTGCAATGTTTACCCCCTCTACAATGAGTTTACCCCCAAATGAAAGAAAAAAATAAGACAAAAAAAAAAATGCCAGCATCACATCACAATATCACATCAACTTAAAAAACTCAGGATCTCTTCAGTTTTTTTTTTCCACTCTTGGCCATGTTTTGTCTGAGAAGAAACATGTTGTGTTGTTATGAAAATTCAATTTGTAGAAAGGCCTAGCAATAAACTTTTGTATTTGGTAGGGTTAACACATCCAAGAGAGGGCAAAATTTTAGGTGGCAAACTTACTTTTGGTTAAAACTCCTTAAACCTCTTCAACACAGTTAACATTTGCACTGTCTTTTTTATTAAAGTGGGATCCAGACAGCATTACTGAGGAAACTGAATTCATTATGGGAGTAAAAGCAAACAAGTAAGCTTGAATTTATTTCGCAACCAGTTATAAGTTTTGTTGAAAAAAAGAAGCCTAACATTATGTTGTTGAAAACAACACCATTTTCTGTGTGAGGGCATCAAATAACATTTAAGAAATGGCTCTCATTTCTCAGTACATTTTTCTTTTGGAGACTTAGATGAGATGTTGCAAGGTTGTTGTGTTCTCTTGTTTATTAAACTGTTTTTTTATTTCTTAAGAGCCCTTGGTTTTGCTGCTACAAGAGGAAAACTCTACTACAGACATCCAGAACTTTTCAAGGTAAATCATTTGACATGTCCACCTTAATATTGTTAATTAATTCCCTTAAAGATCAGAATGCATAATTTTTTGCCAAACCATCCATATCTAGACCACCTTCCTTGTAAGAATTTCTGAGATTTCTTTTTCATTATACAGCAACAAACAAATGCTCATGGGGGACAGATAGTATGCATTCAAAGTTTTCCATTCTTCACATGGTTATGCAGAGTTTTAATGAAGAGCAGCATTACAACTTGTGAATAAAACTCATTCATGTGCACTATACATTGAATAAACTCTATTTTTGGATGTTGATCATGTGGTATAAACATAAGGCGGGGAGATGCCTGGGAAGGACTGTTTGCACAAACAGAGAGGAGAAGATCAGAATGAAATCTGATGATGGCTTTCACTGTGGTTTTGGAAATATGTGTCATTGTTACTGAACTAGAACTACCCTATCACAGACAGTCAAATCACTTCACTGATTATGACAGTCAACTTTAAACCAGTTACTGTTAGTATTTCATTCTAGACCATGTTGTTGTCTTTTACTCTACAGTACTCGGGTGACTCTGATGACAAACTGTGGCTGTTTGAACAGAATGAACTGCCCATTACCGGAGGCAAGGTATAATGCTCAAAAACACTGCTTAGCTTGTGAAAGGGTTGTTGAGACTGTAAAAATTTATATGTTTGCTCTAACTTATACTCCGTTGATCTGTTTATAGGCATTTCTCATGATTGCAGATGACATCAGAAAGTTAGCTGATCATCAGGATTACAGGTCAGTAGCTATCATAACACATTCCCAGTGTACTAAAATAAGTAAAACAAGGATGATTTGGCAAACATTAAAAGTCAGCCTGATTTTCCATGAGGAGGTTGGGACGAGGAAGGGGGAGGAGGGTACCTAATATTGTTGATAAAGTGTTTTATAGTTTCCCAGTAATCCATCAGTTTCTGTAGAAGGGGAGCACTTCCCATTCCATCTGAATCCTCTAACCTATACTGAAAATTTTGTCTGACAGGAATAATGAAGGTTTAAATCTGGAGGAAATCAAGGGTTTTAAGGTGCCATCAAAGATGTTAGAGAAGATGAAAAGTCACATGAGAAGTAAGTCCAAATTTTGTAACATGAAGTTTTTTCTTTCAAAGCTTTTACAGTCAGGTTTGAGATTCTGACTGATGGGTCTCTTGTTTTTGACCCCTTAACTCCCGGAAGTGATTTATATGCTGCTTCTCCTTATCACAATAACAATCGATTTTCCAACAAACAAGTGATGCGGATAGACAACGTTATCAGCTACAGGGTGTAATCTTGATGTGGTATTGAGTTCTCTTAACCAATTTTCAAGGAAATTTACAGTATATAGAAGGGAGAATTTTAGCAATCAGATCCATGAATAGTGTCATACCATAAATACCTATCATAAGCCTTGTTTCATGTAACACTCAATCTTGCTTTTGATGGGGATTTGGGTGCATTGAAGAACATAGAGCCTCTATAATTTTTGTAAAAAAAAATTTTGAAAGGCCCTGAAATAAGTTATCCTAATAGTTATAATAATTGAGAGGAAGAGAGGGAGGGGAGGCGGGGGAGCTTTTGAGTGGCCTTGTGCTAAAATGGTGTCAAATTACTTTATAGAATTGAAGAGAGAAGCAGCCGCACGAGGTGAAGTTAGAGAGAAATTCAAAGAGGAGGAGAGTCCTGCCAACAACGAAGTAAAAGAGTCAGCTGGACAAGAGAGCAAGGAAACACCCTCTCAAGCTCCAGATATCAAACAGGAGCAATGAAATAAATGACGATACCTAACAGATAAGGATCGATAGGAACAATTGTATTTATTAGAATTAGTCGTTCTTGGTAGAACTTTACATTAGAGTGGCTCTTCATCTCAGTGGTGAACCATTTGTATCGCGAGTAAGTTAACTGTATCCTAGAGTCTGTTGATAAGTTCTTAAGTTAGACTTCCTTAAATAATTAATCTCCAACCTCTGTGAGGGCCAAAGTATAGCCAGGCTCTCCCTATGAGCGCTGCAGGGCTCCCGTTTTCCTTCCGTATGAAGATTTGAGACGAGTCGGGGAGAGGTTTGCTAGGTCCTAGCATACCTCTTGCCGGCTGCTTTTCTAAAACCCAAACTTTCTGTTGGGCGAAGAAACTCTCTTGTCGCAGTACTTATTATGAGAGCCTGCTTGTCGGCTAGCCAGACTAGAACTTTGAAATTTTATAAAAAAACAGGCAAAGATGTTATCCAAGTAGGATGTCGGAACCAGTATAGAGTTACAAATGGAAAACTGAGAGGTCGTTGAACGAGCTTCACGCTCTAGGAATACTATAGGGAAATTCTTCCCTATATTTTAAGTTTTTTTGGGGTGTGAAACATAACTTGTTATGTCCTCAGACAAACCAACTCTTAATTTGTAGTCTTCTCGACGTGTTACAGTTAAATCACAAGATTTTCCTCTTTCCTAGAGGTTTCCTTTCCTTACTGCATTAACGACGCCCTGAAATGGGCCAATAAAATACTGTACTCACTTTTTCCTGTACCCGCGGAAGATGTATTCACAGCGGTTAACGGGCAGAGCCAAAGTGGGGAAGGGGTGAGAATTATTTTTTTGGGGAGGGGGTCGATAAGGGTGAAGTCCTGAGGATCATATATATGAGGTGCAAAGAGAGGGTGGCAATTTTTGTTACAAAACAACCCGGCATGCCCAAGACCCCAAGACCTCAATGAAGGACCACACCCCACATTTCTACAGAGGCCTGCCTTTGCCCCTGATCAACATGAAGAAGCTGGAAGATTCCAACCCACATTTCAATTGAAAGATTTTCCATCTCACAATGACGGGTGGGCTCTTCTGTACCTAATTGAAGCGCTTGCTCTTCAGACATTTACAACAGGGGCGTGACTCGAAAGTCTGGACAACTTTCAGGGCCTGTTGCTATATAAAGAAACAACAACGACAACAACAATTCTAAGGAACCCCATTCATCCCATCCACTTTCATTTAATCCTCTGTTAGCGACGACTGATCTCTCTTCGTTCTCCCTGAAAACCGAGTGATCCCCCATCCCCCTCCAAAAATCCTTCACCCCCACGTATAAATAATGATTGGTCCCTTACCACTTTAGGGCATGAATAGATTGGGTGGGGTAGTAATAGCTTGATGTAATCTCGTACCCAGATCCTACCGTCAAACAGTAACGTGAAAGATGTGGACGTCACCAAGCCAGACAACTATTGGTTCCAACAGTAGTTTATTTAACTTAGTTTAGTCATAGTCAATGTAATCTAAAAAGTTCGATTCTTACACAAATTACACTATTCAAAGTGCAAAAAAAGAAAAAAAAATGGGCAAGTGTTCTTTTGTCGTTGAACGATTTTTACTGAAGTATTCCATATGCTAATTCCAGGCGAAAAATTGTTCTTTGAAGATTAGTGATTTCTAATTAAATATTCCATATGCTGCCAAAATTTTTGTTGTTGTTGACTTTTTAAATACCTTGTTATCCCTGTGATGCGAAATTGATTGACCGTAAGAAGAAACCGCTCAGTGAAAGGGTGTCGCGAGACCAAAAGAACAAAGGTACTTAGCCAGGTCTAACCTCTTGAGGACTGTGCCATGTAGCAAAGAACTTCATTCGATGGTGTTCTAAGTCACCTCACCAAAACAAGTCGACAAAGAAATTATAAAAAGCGGCTGAACAAAGATATACCAAGCACAAAAGAGCATTATGATTCATCCAAGGTTAGCCCAAATATGTGCTTAAGAGCTATTTTCAACTGAGTGTCGAAATTAATCCACAATTGCTTTGTTTTTGCTTATTTCCCTCTGCGATTGGTCCAAAGAATTCGCGTTACTCTCTCAAACAATCAGAGATGGAAAGCTAAAACCAATTACGGCTTGGTCGCTCGCATTTTCCTGCGCTTTAGGCGGTTTAGGCGGTTTACTTTGAGTTCTTATTGTTTCTTAAATATGTTTTCCTCTCTTTTGAATGGCCGTGGTGATTACCATGGTTTTGGTTTCCGGCACTCAATCAAAAAACGTTCTAACAATGACCTAGGAATTACCTTTAGTGACTATGGCTTCCACTTTTCAGATAAAACCAGCTGAATTTTAAAGCGGGACAAAAGATCGCAAAAGTTCTAATAATGAAGACTAAGAATCACAGATGATGCATAATTATGGTAATAAATATCTGTCAAAAAAATGGGCGAGAACAAGTAGAAATATAGCAAGAAAGTTAAGCATGTCACAAACTGGACAATCGGGTCTACCCAACCATTCTTCGCTTCTTTCACCCGAGGCTGGAGAATGTCGGTGTAAAAATACCATTATATCATCAGAAACATTTTCTTTTGGAAATATATTATCCTGAGCCGTTCTAATCGCTGAAAAATCTAAATTTGGCCCGGCCTTACTATTCTGAGGCCTTCGTAAACGCGTTAACTCTAATATGTAAAAAGAAGCAATTTTTACATTTTGAGTATTAACAACGCATTGTACCATACAGCCCGGCTAAGTAGGCTTTAATGTAGGATATATGCATTAGTTGTTTGGACCAACTAGGACAACTTTATTTTTTACTCAGCCATTGTTTAGGCCTAATCAGGAGCTTTTGACGCTCGGTACCACTCCTTCGCAGGCCAAACTTTTCTAGACTATTACGTCACCTATCCCTCTTCAGACAAAAATGGGCGTCAATGAAACAGAGTATTTATTCTTTTAGTAAACCACTCAGGTAAAAAAAATAACTCAAAAACTTTGCTCTCCTTGTCATAATTTAGAAACAAAATTTCGCTAAAAGATTTTAAAAATCACATTCACGATTGTTATTGAATATTAGCAAGAAAAAAAAATTACTCTTGATATTGGGAAACCCTCTGTCGAAGAGCTGGGTGATATTTAAAGTTTTCATAATTATTTTAGTTTTCTTATACCATCTGACAGCAAGAGAGGCTGTTTTTAGCTTCTAAACAGAGCAGCGTGTTTGGATGTCACAAGTTCCGAGTAGGTGCATCGCATTTTATCAATCTGACGATTAGTTAGTGCATGGATAGTATAAGGAACTTATGAAAAGACTCCTTCACGGATGTTGTTTGGCCATGTTACGCAGAGAGAGCGTGTTGCGTGACGTGGAGGAGCAGAAGACTATGCGGCGAGGAGAGTTTTAATTGGCAGAGCAGTGAAATTGGGCAGCGAATGTTACAAGGTCCTCATATTCCTAAAGAGTGCCACTAGACATATTTTAGCGACATCAACCGAGTATTGTACATAAGCTTCGATTTCCGGAGATGGCGCCAGCTTAAATACAGTACAATATAACGTGTTTTAAAGAGGATAAACTCTCCGGAAAAATTACTGAAGGTACAGATTAAGTCTGAGAGTTGACCAAGTAATAATTTGGTGTTAACTTACATTGGGAGAGGGATTGCAGTGCTCTTAGTTAAGTCGTTAACAACTCGAATGAACATTATTCTTTGGTAGAATAAATTACTTGAACACGAGTACACTGCGTGATTTGCAGACGCGAGTGATGTTTGAGAACTCTTCGTTATTGCACGAGACATAAGCGAGATAAATTTGAAAACACTTCAGTCATCACAAGTGACCATCAATCACGAAGTATGCGAGTAGTTTATACGATTTCTAGCCTTTTAAAATTTTCTACGAAAAAGAACTTTGAAACGCTGCTTTTGATGCACACTTATCGAAACACTTTCCGACAGTTCAAAAAAATGCTTTCTTTATAAACCGATGATTTTCCATAATCGTGAAGGGCAGACCTAAGGTCAATTTGGTTTTGGTAGTATTTTGAAAACTTAATCCTTCTTAGATAATTCGATGCGGAAATTCTGTATTACACTCTATGGCCTTCTTCTGCATTCGTTATTGACCAATAAGGAAAGAGATATTTGGTTGAGCATGTGATATAAAAGAAATCATTATTCCGCACCGAATATCACTTATCGCTCAGCAACGAATTTTCATGATCAAATTTGATCTACAAACCCGCCCAAAAGCCTATTTTTATCTTCTTGTAGCTTACAATTTTTTTCTTTAATCATCCACTCTTTCAAAAGTTTCATTAAATTGAATTGACCTTTTGGCGGGTCGGTTATGAAGTGATATTAGATTTCTTTTTCCGGCTTTAAGTGCTTAATATTAGTCACGTACTGGCTAATTTTCAAGTTTCCTTTCCCCTTTTAGCCGTGTGAATTCCTTTGCGGTCCTTATCGATTCTATAGGACTGGTTGTTTAGTCAAAGAATCACCCTCAGGAAGAAATCTCCTGCGTTTTCCGGCTGAAAACTCCTCTCACCAGTCCCCCTCCGTCGACGTCTATTTCAATACCTATTTCAGTACCACGTGCGTAGCACATTCTGGCCTCGAGCTGTCGTTAATGTGTTCCTGACCTGAAAGATATAATGAGGAAAGAGAGGAAAAAAAATTTTGACACAATTTTACAAGTTCGATTAAGCTTAACTAAGAAGGTCTTTGTTAAAATTAAGTCTGTCGCAGTGGTAGAGTCGTCTGTGATCTGCACGAGAACCCTTAGGCGTTTACGATGTACGTGCTAAGAATTACTTATCAAACGTAGCCAAACTCTGCATGAAGGCTGGAGTGCAAAATTTGTTAGGTGTGGAAATCACACCATCAATGCACGTGATGATCAACGTGCAGAAGACAAAAAAAGAATTAGAAATTAATATTAGACAAAAAATAAACATAACAACTAATCACAGATTGAACAATCTCTGATAGACTTCTAGACAACTTCGCGAGTTGCTAATGACAAATTTGCGTCAGAAAATAGCAAACACACTATTATGATGGCTTCTCGAGATAATTTTTGCCGAAAACCTGGAAATTTTGTCGAAAAGCCCTGCGCCACGTTGTACGGATTTAAAAGCGAGACGATTCTTTTCTGGTGGTAACCTACGAAACATGCGCTCCGCACGACCTTTACATGTGACGCTCTGAAGAGAATGAGCCTTACAATAGTTCAGCTTAAAGATAGAATGGAGTAATATCATATGGGGGAAATGTATATTAAGCTTTTCAGAGGGATCAAAACTTTAGAGAATATTATCACACTAAGACTGAAAAGAGGGCTTTCTGTGTCACGAAAGAATATTTTGTCCATCAACAGTTTATATTTTTGTCAGCGGGGGTTCGGAAATGTACTCACGATTGACGTTCCCCACGTCAATGTTCAAGAACCGTAAACTTGTCCCAGACACTTGACGCATAATTAATATTGTCCTCTTTCCACAGAGAAAACTGTCATTGGACGATCTGTTGTCTTATATAATTTATTCGTCCAGCTTCCACTACATAAGAAGTAGCTTGACTAATCTGAGTCGCATTTGCCTTGCAAAAGTCCTTTACTTCAGATAGCAAGCAACCATGGTAGGTTGGGGTTACGAAAAAGAGAATGGTAAGTTAAACACTTTGGCGATCATAACAATTTTGTTTCGTGTTTGCAAAAAACAAACGTTCTCCACGTAGGAGATGATAAAGTTGCAGCGCGATCCAAGTAATCGTGAATTTTATTTCCTTCTAGCTTCCGATCCTACGTAAATAAACACAATTTCAAATTTTTCGTCGACAGGTCCCGCACACTGGCACAAAGATTGTCCGATAGCTAATGGTAAGAATCAATCGCCGATCGATTTAATCACCGGTGAAGCGAAGTACGACTCTGGTCTGAAGCCCTTGACTGCGAAGTATACTCCGTTTAGTGACGCTAAGTTTTTGAACAACGGCCATTCCGTGCAGTTCCAACCGAGTCCTGGAAATCCATCAGGTAAACAATCATCCATTAACATATGTACATGGGTAAATTTCTGTTTGAACATGGAACAAGCTAATTTGCAAACCACAAAGCAGAAAACAAAGCGGCTCTCATTTTCGAATAGCAAATATAGAGACAGGAAGACTGATGCAGATGGCAAAATTGATGGCTCTAGGCATCGGATTAAAAGATAGAAAGGAAAACTTCGTCTTAACTTTGGATCCTTCTCAGTTAAAGTCGGGAGTGTGTTTTTATTTGTTTAGTCTCCCTAACAATATTGCACTTGAGTCGTTCTTCTGCGTGAATTTTCTTTCTTCAAAAAAACAACCCAGAATATTTTTTCAAGCAATCGTTATTTTCTATCTAGAGAAATATTTTTGTGAGTTAGTTCGCATCTGTTAAACGAGGAGAAGATCCGTGCGTGATTGGTATTGATGAAAATGCCTTGAGCTCGTTAGGTACTTTTTTGCGACCGTTCTGGCCGTGTGTGATGAAAGCCGACGCGTATTATTTATTTGGTCACACCCCAAGCACACCCATGTCTCCATTCCGTCTCGTCCCAATCCAACCGTTGTTATGTTTTAAGCGATAGTGTCGTCCCAAAAACTTTTCTCGTTATTTCCCCGCACGAAAAAAGGCTATTGGCAGCGATAAGGAACGCACCAACCATCGAATGAATTTAAATTAAGAACAATAATAACGGTCCTTAAACGCTTCATATTGCATATAATTACTTAAGGATATTTATTCACGAAACAAGGAGTACTTCAGATGCACAATATGTCTTACGTAATTGCACTCTTGCACAAAAAATTAATGACAAAAGCTTTCTTACATCTCGAACAGAGCGAATATTGAAATTACTGTCAGGAAGCAATCGATTAGTCTATTTATGAGCTTATGGCAATTTTTGGCTCCGAACAAATATCAAACAAACAGTTCAAACGACGTAGTTTTTTCTCTTCAGACCCTCGATAGTATATAGTTCACCAAGGCTCGTTTTGAGTACCCAATACAGTAATTTGTTCTGGATGGTGACACTGAGACGACGCCAACTTCAATTAAAACGGTTCGCTTCAATTCACAAAACCGCAGAAATGAAAGGAGGGTTGTTTCTAGCTTGGTCAACAAATAAAAAAAGCAATAAATAATATTACCATAAATTATTACATGTAATGTTTTATTCATCATTAGTCTTAGAGAGGCAACGTGTTGCTCAGTTATGTAATATTCCTGCACCTGATGTTCACATGTTAAAATATTTTCTTTTCTTCTTCTACTTCCTTTTTTTTCCAACTGCAAGCATTAAAACACAAAATAAAAGAAAAAAATATATATATATTGAAATGCTACCATGTCTTGTTCACTTCCACACAGAGAACAGATTTGTATTATGAGAATTGTATTTTAGGATTGTATTGGATAAGTATTGTCAAGCTGCCTAATTCATTTAGACTTCTCAAAATACAATGTTTATTTATCACTAGTCTTATAGAGGCAACGTGTTGTTCACTTATGTAATATTCCTGCACCTGATGTTCACATGTTAAAATATTTTCTTTTCTTCTTCTTTCTTTTTTTTTTATTTTAATTTTTTAATTTTTATTTTTTTCCTGCAAGCATTAAAACACAAAATGAAAGCGAAAAAAAAATATTGAAATGCTACCATGACTTGTTCACTGCGACACAGAAAACAGATTTGTACTGTTGGAATTGTGTTTTAGGATTGTATTAGATGAGTATTATTTAGCTGCTTAATTTATTTAAACTTTTCAAAATATACTTAATTACACTGCTCTAATATCATTGAGTTGTCATGGCATTTGTCCAAGTTAATATTAGTTTTAACACTTTTTGGCATCAGAACTAACTGGAGGAATGTTGACTGCAAAGTACAACTTTGAGCAATTTCATTTTCACTGGGGTGGCAATGACGCCGAGGGCTCAGAACACAGAGTAGATGGAAAGATGTACCCAGCCGAGGTAAAAGAAATGTAGTAATATTACAGACCCTGAGGTGAAATTTTGATAATTTTTCATCACATGAGTGTCAGAACATTTTTGTTGTTTTTGTTTTTTCATTTTACCTGTAAAAATATCAATAATTACACAACCTTTTGCACCCTTGTATTCCCCGTCAGCTGTATACTGAACTATAAGGCTTTTAGAGTATTAAAGAAATATCACTTTCATTTTCTTGTCACCTAGTTTAAATTAGCTGTCACTTCTTCTGTGTCATAAAATCATATAAACAAGGAAAAAAGAACTTTTGCACACCTGCAGAAGTAAGGTACAGCAGTTGGGCAATCCCATGTCCACAACATATTTCTACATGACTGGACAGTGTTGAAAAAATTTGTCTGTGGGGGAGATGGTGGGGAAGGGAAGACTCCCTCTTTTGGTCTCAAC